TCGGTCATCATCCCCCCCTTCCACAGAAAGCGGGGTTAGCTGCCCTTCTCTACACAGCTGCCCATACATTCTGGAGTCTGCTCACAGGCTGGGAAACCTATTAGAGGATTTTGAAGAGAGGTTGGTATGGGGAAAGGTCTGTACAGAGAAGAGCACTTTCTCCATTCCAGCTCCTTCTAAATCTGGGAGGACAGTCTGTGACTACAAAGTCATTCATCAGGACCAGAGCTAATGCAGGGTGCTGGAGCTGTGCACGTGGTACTGATTCTTCACAGATCCTTGGGGTTCTGCAGAGGTTAGGTTTGGGCTTTCCTTCCTTCTAGGTAGTAGAAGAGTCTCAGGGGAAGATTTTCACAGATGCTTCCTCAAACCAAGGCTCTTGACAAAGCAGTAACCCAACCTGCAATCTATTACACTACTTCTTTCAAGGCCCAGGCTGCTCTGTCCCAGGAGCAAGGGATCTTGCTGCTTGCCACAAATCCTCTCCGTGGTGCTCCTTCCTACGCCGCAGAGATGTGTTTAGCCGGGGCTGAAAGCCCTCCTGGCCAGCCCTGGCTCAGAGGAGAGGGCCTGCCGGAGCAAGTGCAGCTGGTGCAGGGTTGGAATAGTCCCTGTGACCAGGGAAAGGAAGGGTGGCTCAGGGCTGCCCTTTCCTGAGTTACACCACATCTAGCGCAGCTGAGGATGTTGTCCTGAATTTTATTTAATGATAATTTATTTTCCTGTGTTTCCAATACCAAGTTTTAGCAGTCTCCCAAGGATTTGTATGATTACACAGGTGTTTTTCAATGATCTGTTGCAGAATTATTTTTATTTTAATTTTTTTTTTCTGGTTATGGCTACAGTGGCTTTTACAATGTGTCCTCTTCCTTCTTCCCCACTTGCATTGTAATGCTTCCAACTTCATTCCAAATCTTTATGGTCACAGTCTGTACAACCCCACATCCCTGCAGTAGCATATTTTCAGGTATTTTTCTCATGATGCCATTGAAACAATAAACTGCTACATGTTTATGTGTTGCTACTTTGGGGGTAGGGTAGAGTTTTGGGGTAGAATTACACTTAAATCTTAAAATAACATTTAATTCAGGTTTTTTTTCCAGGCAAGTAAAGTCCCTGACAAGTAGTCCTGGGGTTTCATATTTTGAGCGAGCTTGTTCAAAGCTATTTTTATAAGATCGATACATCTTAGTCATTGTCATAATTGCCTGTCTTTTTGCATTCTTTTTCTGTTTGTTCTCGAAGCAGCTGACTCTAAACT